AAGCCTATTTTAAAAACATGAATGAATATTCATTTGAAGAATTGACGGATATCCATTTGATATATAGTCGTGATGATGGAAATGGACAGTTAGCTTCTCGAGTATATTAGGAGCACAAATAAGTTTCCGCCGTTTGACAAAAGATGGCCCCACCAAAAGGTTATGTTGAAATTGTCAGATGTAAAACGTAATATCGTAAGTTTGGACATCTGGTAACAACAAAACCTTGAATCATGAGTGACTCCGTATCAGCATCACATAACTTTTTTCGTGCGAAAATGTCAAGTTTTGTGCCGAATAAGCGTCAATTGCGGGAACTTTTGATTTACTTCTTTAATTTGAAGAAATCTGCAGTTGAGGCGCATAGATTGCTTGTAGAAGCATATGGTGAGACTGCATTAAGTGAGAGAAGTTGTCGTGAGTGGTTTCAAAAGTTTAAAAACGGTGAGTTTGACGTGGAAGACAAAGAATGTAGTGGAAGGCCGAAAGCGTACGAAGACATGGAATTGGAAGCATTATTGGAGGAAGATTCGTGCTAAACGCAAGAAGAAATTGCACTTACATTAGAAGTGACTCAACAAGCAATTTTACATTGTTTAAAATCGTTGGGAATGATTCAAAAACAAACAAAAAAACAAATTGGGTTCCGTATGAACTGAAGCCGAAAGACGTTGAACGCTGATTTTGCACATGTGAAATGCTGCTTGCCAGGCATAAAAGAAAGGATTTTTTGCATCGTATAGTCACTGGTGATAAAAGATGGATCCACTACGATAACCTAAAGAAGAGAAAATCATGGGAACCATCTGGCCATGCTTCAACATCGACAGCCAAACCGAATATTCATGGAAAAAAACTCATGCTGTGTATTTGGTGGGATCAGCTTGGTATCGTGTATTATGAGTTGCTCAAACCGAGCGGAGCCATTACTAAAGCTCTCTACCGAACATAATTAATGAGATTGAGTCGAGCATTCAAGGAAAAACGCGCCCATTACTACTCCAGACACGACAAAATTATTCTCCTACATGACAACGCTCGGCCACATGTTGCAAAACCGGTTAAAACCTATTTGGAAACACTTAATTGGGAAGTCCTACCCCACTCGCCGTATTCACCAGACATTGCCCCTTCCGATTATCACTTGTTCCGGTCGATGGCACATGGCCTGTCTGAGCAGCGCGTTACATCATATAAAGATACTAAAAATTGGGTCGATTCGTGGATAGCCTCAAAAGATGAAGAGTTCTTCCGACGTGGTATCCAAATGCTGCTAGAAAGATGGGAAAAAGTAGTGGCTAGTGATGGACGATATTTTAAATAAAACGTAACGTTCTTTCACAATAAATTCCTAATTTTTGATAGAAAACGGCGGAAACTTATTTGTACTCCTAATACTAAGAAACTTTTCCACACCGTCGAACTCCAAATCATGAAACGTTCGCAGCAGTTGATCGCCGACTACGAAAAACTGGGCAATTCAGGCCGGTAACAGCCAACTACGGTACTTCAAGAATTGTTTGAACAACTGATGTTGAAGAAAGCATTTTAGATCGAATTGACAGCAATCCCAGCATCAGTACAAGAAAAATTGCAGCAGCAGAACATGTATCTTACATTACCATATGGACAATTCTGCATGGACAGCTATTTTACCTATATCATTTACAGAGAGTCCAGAGACTCTCTAGCAGATTTTCCAGCAAAATTAGTGTTTTCTTAATGGTTTTTACAGCAGTGTATGGATCCAGTTTTTTATTTTTTTTTACTTTTTACGGATGAAGCTGGTTTTAACAGGGATGGAACAGGGATGGACAGGGATGGAATAATGAATTTTCACAGCAATCTTTGGGCAAAAGAAAATCCTCACGGTATTGCAATTTCGACATCAGCAGCAATTTAACCTGAATGTTTGGGCAGGAATTATCAGCGGTTACTTGATTGAGCTGTATTTTTTTAGCAAGATTAATTGATGAAGCTTATCGCGATTTCCTAGAAAATCAATTTCCAAGACTCCTAGAGAATGTGCTATTGCCTATACGACAAAGAATGTGGTTTATATATGACGGTGCACTACCCCATTTCACCGCCAGGGAATTCTTAAATGCCATCTATCCTGGTCGATAGATAGGTCGGAGAGGATTAATATCATGGCCAGCACGTTCACCTCACATGAATCCATTGGACTTCTTCTTCTGGGAGTATATGAAAACTCTTGTTTATTCTGTTCCAGTACCAGATGTTGCAACTCTTCGTCAGCGGATCCTAGTTGGCTGCGACATCATCCGTAATATATTTAGTATTTTCCAACGGGTTTGTTAATCAATACGACGACGTGCAGGCTTCCTTGGAATCTAACGGAGGCCATTTTGAGCATTTACCATAGTAAGTATTGTCTTGTTATGTCTGTAGAAATAAATAAATACAGTTTGCAACTCCTATACGATTTAACGTTATAATTTCCTCTACTGCAGGAAAATTTTAAACCGTTATAACTCTAGAAAGAAACGTTTTCGACCCCATGTTAATATGACATTTTCTGCTCATTTTGGTCCCTGGAACATATTCTGAAAGTTTGTGCAGACCATTCAGAAACTCCCTGTATACTGTATGTTAAAGAAAGACGAATTACATAGCTTGAAATAAAAATAATTTATAAACTATAGCTATAATCTAAGAAAACTGTTGAATTTTCATGGAAAACAAAATTATTTATTTCAATTATTGTTTTATTTCTCAACTCTACAACTCGATTAGCAATTTTATTAATATTTAAACAATATTTGGTAGTTTCTAGCTTCTTATACTGAGGAAGATTACAAATATTTATTAAAAGGCCATCAGTGTTCTATTAACAATTCTGTGAACAATTATTTTGTAAATAACTAATTATCAGTATCCTTAATAGATTTTAAAATATTATTCTCTCTAACGATTCAACGAACAACTTGCTGCAAAGGTTGAGAAGTTTTACGAACCATTTTTTTTAACTTCTGCTCAAAATTATCAAATAGAAAAGCACTAAAGTTATATAATGAACTAAATAATCTTACACAATTGCTTAAGTGTAAAAAACTACATACATTATGTGAAATGAACCTGGCCCATAAATTTGAGTAGAATTAATAATAATAATATGTTTTATGAACTTGTGAGCGTAAGAAATAAAATGTTCATACTTTGAATAATAATTACTAATTAAAATAATGCCTGCCAAGCTGAGTGTAATAAAATTATTATGAATTTTAGGAGGCAGCTTGCTTTAATAATTTTGGGCCTGTACGAGGGTGGTCCGATAAGTACTTAGCCTACAAAAGAAAAACGAAAATTTTGGAAAAGTGGCGATTTATTTCTCAACATAGTCTCCTTTTAGCTCGATACATTTGACCCAGCGATGCTCCAACTTCTTTAACCCGTCTGAAAAATATGTTTTCTCGAGGTCTGCAAAGTAGGCCTCCATGGCGGCGATGACCTCCTCATTCGACTCAAATTTCTGCCCGGCGAGTGACTTTTTCAAGTTTGGAAACAAAAAGAAGTCGCACGGGGCCAAATCTGGAGAATACGGTGGGTGGGGCAGCAGTTCGTAGGGCACCAATTCGACCAATTTGACCGCGGCGAGGGCGGAGGTGTGAGCCGGTGCGTTGTCATGGTGGAAGAGCACTTTTTTCTTCGCCAAATGGGGCCGTTTTTTCTGCAATTCGGCGTCGAATCGGCCCAATAATTCGGCATAGTACAGCCCTGTGACCGTTTTGCCCTTCTCCAGGTAGTCGATGTAGATCACACCTTGTGAATCCCAGAAAACGGTGGCTATCATCTTTCCGGCCGATAGGACAGTCTTCGCCTTCTTCGGAGCACGTTCGCCGGGTGAAGTCCACTATTTCGACTGTTCCTTGGTCTCTGGTGTGTACCAGTGGATCCATGTTTCGTCGACGGTCACGAAACGACGCAGAAACTCCTTCGGATTGCGCTTAAACAGCGTCAAACACTGCCCTGAAGTGGTCTCATGGTTGCGCTTGTTGTCCGGAGTGAGCAAACGCGGCACCCATCTCGCCGATAGCTTTCTCATGCCCAAAATTTCATGCAGGATATGACCCACGAGGTCTTTTGAGATGCCTACTGTCTCAACTATTTCGCGCACCTTCAATCGGCGGTCTGCCAATACGAGATCGTGGATTTTTGTCATGTTATTCTCCGTGGTAGCCGTTTTCAGGGCACCTGGGCGTGGCTCATCAAAAACCAACGTGCGACCACGTTGAAACTCGTTAAACCAATTTTTGACAGTCGCCATCGAAGGAGAAGAGTCACCGTACACAGCATCCAAGCGCTCTTTGATTTCGCTGCGCGATTTCCCTTCCAAAAACAAGAATCGAATCACCGACCGATATTGCTCTTTTTCCATTTTTCTAAAATCCGTGGACACGCCCGCTTCCACATGCGGTCAAAACAAAACTACGAGTCCGATTCGGCTGAAATTTCGACAGTAGCCGTCTATGAGAATGTACTACACGATAGTAAATTTCTCTTGCGATAGTGGCGCCATCGGGCGGTGAGGCTAAGTACTTATCGGACCGCCCTCGTATATATTGGGTTTGGGAAAAAGTTCGTGGCGTTTTTCCCGACAGATGGCGTCAATTGCAAATAACTTAGGAAACATAGATCGCAGCGACACCACTAAACGCTCGTTGGAAAGGTGACACTTCGAGCGTTACTTTGAGTGTACAAACATCGAAATTGGTGAAGTGGTTGGAATGTTGTTTGCGTTTGAAAATGGAGAAAAGTAATGAAAAATTGTGCTATATTTTGCAATATTATTAGGTTGTTGCAAATAAAATGGCCGTTTTTCAAAATTCATATTTCCCGGCCGAGTAGTTCAGCTCTTTTCATGCAGCTGTCGTTGCATGCGTGATATTTGAAAAATAGATGCCTCACCCGTAAATTCGCATGCATAACCTTACTTTTATCACATTGGTTATATCGTTGAAAATCGCTGTCTCTTCGACATGGAAGGTAAGGAAATGCGAATAATATTCTTGTACGAATACAAACTTGGTCATAGTGCGGCCAAGGTAACGCGAAACATAAACACTGCTTTTGGGGAAGGTTCTGTAAGTGATCAAACCATTAAACGTTGGTTTGTGAAGTTTCGATCTGGTGATACAAATCTCGACAATTTGCCTCGCGGCCATGTACCAGTGATTGATGACAATGTTTTGAAAGACATGGTTGAAGCAGACTCGCGTTTATCAATTCGAGATATTGCACACAGCATCAACGTTCACTATTCCACTGTTTCCCGACACCTAAAGGCCATTGGGAAAGTAAAAAATCTTGACAAATGGAAACCACATGAATTGACTGAGAGAAACAAGCTTCGCCGTATGGAAATCAGCTCATCTTTGCTTTCCCAACACAATAATGAAGGAATATTGAATCGAATAGTAACGTGTGATGAAAAGTGGGTTCTTTATGACAATCGTCGACGTTTTACCCAGTGGTTAGATGCTGATCAAGCTCCGAAACACATGCCGAAATAGCCTTCATCCACGTAAAGTTATGGTATCTGTATGGTGGTCTGCCAAGGGTACTGTGCATTTTTCGTTTTTGAAAAAGGGTGAAACTATAAATGCTGACAAATTTTGCCAAGAAATTGATGTTGTGATGGAAAAACTGCATATTGAACAACCGGCGTTATTGAATAGACGTGGTATGTTATTGCTCCATGATAATGCTAGACCGCATATTGCAAAAAATACTGCAGAAACATTAACAGAATACAATTGTGAAGTTCTCCCTCATCCTTCTTATTCTCCTGACCTTTCTCCAACTGATTACCATTTGTTTAAGCACCTGGATAACTTTTTAAGTGAAAAGGTATTCCAAACAGAAAGCGACGTGAAAAATGCGTTCAACGAATTTCTTGCATCTCGCTCTTCTAATTTCTACGTGTAAGGCATTGATGCGCTTGTATCACGTTGGGGGAAGTGTATTGAGGTGGAGGGAGACTATATCGATTGATGAGATGTATATAAAGTGTGTCGAATAAAAATTTAAATTAAAAATTAAAAAATGGTCATTTTATCTGCAACAACCTAATATTACGACAAAGGGAAGAACGCTGCGCAGACTTGTGAAAAAATTTGTGCTGTGTACGGTGAAGGTACTTTATCAAAATCTGCTGCGCGGAAATGGTTCGCTCGCTTTCGCTCTGGTAATTTTGATGTGAAAGATGAGTCACTCTTTGGTCGTCCAATCACTGAAAAAGCTGATGAAATTCTTGAAAAAGTGCAGCAAGATATCAATAGTGTCGCTATTGGTATGGAGCTAGGCATTGGCTACAAAACTGTTTTGAACCATTTACACAAAGCTGGCTACAAAAAGAAGCTCGATGTATGGGTTCCTCATGAGTTGAGCGCGGAAAACGTAATAGTCCGAATTAACATCTACGATGCGCTGCTGAAACGCAATGAAATCGAGCCATTTCTGAAACGTGTCATAACCGGTGATGAAAAATGGATCAAGTACGACAATCGGAAGCGTCAAAGATCGTGGATAATGGATGGTGAGCCGTCACAAGCGTTCGCGAAGCCAGGATTGACGCCAAAAAAGATGATGCTATATGTGTGGTGGGACTGGAAGGGAATCATCCACCATGGGCTACTTCCAGTTAGTCAGACGATTGATTCTCAACTCTACTGTGGACAACTAGAGAGATTACGTCAGGCAATTGAAAGAAAACGGCCCGAATTGAATAATAGGAAAGGTGTTGTCTTCCATCATGACAACGCCCGACCACACACTTCTTTGATGACCCGTCAAAAATTGCGAGAGCTTGGTTGGGAAGTTTTGATGCATCCACCGTATAGTCCAGACATAGCACCCTCTGACTATCACTTGTTCCGATCTCTGCAGAACTCTCTCAACGGAATTAATTCCATTCTTTTGAAACCAGCTTAAGGTGGTTTCAAAAGAAGCCTGTGAAAACCACTTGATTCAATTTTTCAACCAGAAACTACAAAAGTTTTTCACCGATGGTATCATGGCTCTACCCGAAAAGTGGCGAAACATTGTCGATAATAATGGAGCATATTTGGTTTAAATAAATTCATTTTCACACTATAAGAAAACCAGTTGAGTTTTACTAAAAAAAGCCACGGACTTTTTCCCAGACCCAATATAATACATTTACCCAAAGATTGCAGAATGAAGCATTTTAATTATTTTCATTGCAATCGAGAGGGTCATTTAGCACGCGATTGTCCACAAAGAGCGCGAATGGAGTCATCGAGTGCGTTGACACGGCCTAGCACTACGTCTGCAACCGTTTTGTCGATTTCTGTCTCTCATGATAATTATGATCAAGTTCCGTTTGTAAATATAATAAAGATAAATGATAAGATTTGTCGGGTAAAGGCGATTCTCGATACAGAATGTCTTATTAGCATGGTATCGCGTACATTTTATGAAAAACAATTAGGTAACGAATTATTGTACAAAGGACCGCAAAATTTAATTTTCAAAAGCGTTAACGGTTCGAATATTCAAGTAATAGGATGATTACGATTACGATAGAAAATTACGAAGAGCAAGGTTTGATCACTATATTATTTATTGTTCCAAACACCACATTTGATACAGATCTGTTGTTCGGTAGAGACATAATATACGGTGGCGTGCAAAACTTTTGAGCCACACAATTATTATTATATATTCATTTCATAATGAACGTTAAAAATTTTACATATATATATAAACAAAATATATTTTTTTGTCCTACAATTATATAAACTTTAATAATTCTCTTAATAATTCTAAATACTTTATTTTTATACAATGTCTTATTACAAATAGTACAAAAGTATTGCGCCAAAAAGTTTTCTTATGCATAAGAAAAATATATTATTGAAAAATAATAGCAGAAAATGTTGTCAACGTTTTTTTAAACTTAATATTTCATTGCCATGCCTTTAGAAGCAATCACTGCAACACAACGGCGAGACATTGATGCTATTAAATTAGAAATGCGATCTTGAGGTAAATTTTGCCATTTAGTTTGCAAATCTTGTCACAATTCAGCTTTATTGGAGTGTTTCTTATGTTCTGTACGCAGTTTGAATTCTTGCCACAAATGCTCAGTAGGATTCAAGTCCGACGATTGCGAGGGCCAGTCAAGAACTCGCATTTCTTTCACGATGAAAAATTCTTTTATTAGTTTTGATGAATGTTTGGGATCGTTATCTTGTTGGAAAATCCAACCACGTGACATGTTTCGAGTTGCATATGGCAGCATATGCTGTGTCAATATATTTCAATATATTATAGCGTCCTTAATATCCGTGATCTCAACTAATGGACTAACTCCATTATAAGAAAATGATCCCCAAATCATTACGTTACCTCCACCATGTTTTATGGTAAGAACTTGGTATCTTGAGTTATATCTTGTGCCTGTTGGACGTTGTATATACTTTCTACCGTCACTTCCGAGTAACTGAAACTTTAACTCGTCAGAGAAAAGTACTTTTCGCTAATCAACTTCAGTCCAATGTTCAAATTTCCTTGCAAAATCTAATCGAACTTTCTTATTTTTTGCACTAATTAATGGGTTTTTTACACCAGCACGTCCTAACAGTCCTACTTCCCTTAGACGTCGAGATATTGTACTTCGACTAATATCAGCAAGATTTTCTTCTCGTAGTTCTCGAGAAATATCCATGGCAGCTTTCTAACATCTGCTATCGACTTTCTTTTATCATTTTATCGACACGCTTTGTAGTTTTGCAAGGTATACCGTTTCTGGTTTATCAGCTATAGAGTTCGTCAACTTATATTTAGCAATAATCCTATTTACAGTACTTTTATCAATTAATAAGCAATTAGCAATTTCGCGAGAAACCTTTCCTTGTTAAGAAAGATTAATCACGGCTTCCCGTAACTGAAGTCTTGTATGTTTCGACATTGCAGTAGACAATAGACTGAACCTTAGTTAAAGCAAATATTTACGAAAGAGTTTCATAAGAAACGTAAACAAACTGGACTCATAAAGTCACAACAAGAATATGGCTCAATACTTTTGAACACATGTAAATATCATATGACTAAATAATTAGAAACTATGTAATTTCAAAATTTTGTAACTATACTATTATTTGTAAGAATATTATGTCAACTATTTTATATAATTAATTTTTAGAGCAAATCAGTATATTGTCATGTATCTTAAAAAGACACTATGGCTCGAAACTTTTGCACGCCACTGTATGATAATAAATTACGAGGGTAGTCCCAGAAGTACCCGACCTAACGAAGAAACCATAAAAAATTTGGGAAAAAATATCTTTATTTCTCTACATAGTCTCCTTTTAGCTCAATACACTTTTCCCAGCGATGTTCAATAGCTTCGATACCCTGTTTATAGTGAGAATCGTCGAACCCTTCAAAATAGCCATCAACCGCAGACTCCACCTCTTCATTGTTGGCAAATCTTTTACCACCGAGCCATTTTTTCAAGTTTGGAAACAGAAAATAATCCGAGGGGGCTAAATCTGGTGAATAAGGTGCGTGAAGAAACAATTCGAACTTTAACTCATTGATTTTGACCATCGCGATAACGGATGTGTGTACTGGTGCATTGTCTTGATAAAACAAAACTTTCTTTTTCGCCAAATGCGGCCGGTTTTTTCTTGATTTCATCACTCAAACGCTGCAATAAGTTCGCATAATACTCGCTGTTGATTGTTTTTCCTTTCTAAAGATAATCAATGAAAATTATCCCACGCGCATCCCAAAAAACTGACGTCATGGCCTTGCCTGCAGATGGAACTATCTTCGCCTTTTTTGGAGCTGATTCTCCCCTTTCAGTCCATTGTTTTGATTATTCCATCGTCTCAGGTGTGAAGTGATGGAACTGTCTTCGCCTTCTTTGGAGCCGGTTCTCCCCCTTTAAGCCCATTGTTTTGATTGTTCCTTCGTCTCAGGTGTGAAGTGATGGACCCATGTTTCATCCATGGTTATGAATCGACGCAAAACTCGGCTTTATTGATGTGAAACTTCGCCAAACACTCGATTGAAACATCTTCACGACGCTGTTTTTGTTCCATTGTGAGTAATTGCGGCACCCATCTTGCGCACAGCTGTCTCATGTCCAAATTTTCAGTCAATATGCGATGTACAGCACTTTCTGAAATGTCTACCATGTCTGCTAACTCGCGCACTTTCAATCGACGGTCATCCAATACTATTCGGTGGATTTTCTTTACCATTTCTGGCGTGGTCACCTCATTTGGTCGACCATTGCGATGTTCGTCTTGACTGCTCGTACGGCCTCATTTAAACGCTGCCACCCAATATTTTATGTTGTAAACGAAGGAGCAGACTCCTCCAGAGTAGAATCTAGCTCCGCTTTGATATTGGTTGAACTGAGGCCTTTCAAATGAAAGTATTATATCACATAACGATGACCAATTTTTTGCATGTTTATAAATTCACTGAGAGCGTTCACTATTGATGGCTGCCAAACAAGTACTAAACAACGTAA